GTATGCTCTGGGAACACGAACGCGATTATGGTTTGGGCATGGATGCTCTGGTCATTGTAGGCTCTGGGAACACGAACGCGATTATGGTTTGGGCATGGATGCTCTGGTCATTGTATGCTCTGGGAACACCCGGATATAGGCAATGGCTGCTCCGAAAGGCAGTTGGCTTCCTGTTGAACAGTCTGGAACTTGAAGAGGCGCCTTCGCACAGTGGTTCATTCTGTGAGGCCTCACACAGCCTCCTTTGCTGTCCCCAAGGACAGAATGTGCGTTTTGTCAGGAGTTACTCGGAGCCGTGTCACCATAAACATCCCTAAGCCCTAAATCCCAAAAAAACTCCCATTAAATCAGAGCGGGAGCTTCTGAAAAGTCATCCCCATTCATAAAACCTTAAGTAGCATGATAGAAGCGCTAAAAAGAGTTCTGTTCGATCCTTGCATGTTCCTGGGATTCCAGAGGCCATTCATTTTTGAGAACAGTGCCTCAACAATTAGAATCGTGGAGAATCAAAGGGGACAACAAATGCAAATTGAAGCGAGCATTTGAGAGTATGTAACTTCAAAACCCCAACACTCGACCTTGATCGACGTTTGACCAGTAAGCTTAACATTTTGAACCGCCGTCTTGAAAGTATTCCTGGAACTGGATTTGTGGGTATTTCAAACAAGATTAATACATCCTTTGCAGGCGCAAAAAGGACAATCTCTATCTAGATGGTTTCCATCTCGTTTTCCAACAGAGTTTCCGTTTCATTTTCTGTATGATGTTCCATTTGACTTTCCAGTGTTGGGAGTAAGCCCCCGTCTCTGCAGGAGACTGTGGTTTTTCCCCGACGGCTCCGATCGCAGTGGGTGCGGTGACGTAAACAGGGAAGAAAACAGCGAGTCGGCTGGAGAGTGCAGAGCTTGGGGTTTGGGGTGCATGGTGGAAGGTTGGAGATTTAAGGTTTAGGGTTCAGAGTTTGGGGCTAGGCTTCGGGTGGGGGGGAGAGAATCAGGGTGGACAACGGAGGGAGAAGAGATAGTACAAGGAAAAGTTTGGGATCGGATGGGGAGGATGCAGGGTTACAGCGTTCATAGGTTTCACTTGTGGGGCTAAGCTTCAGCAGCCGGTGGGCGTGAGGGTGGGAATGTCCACTTAGACTGGTGCAGCCTAGGAGTGCACAGTACTTGGAAGTGATGACTTGATCTGATGGGTTGACCGCACTGTGTAAGTACAGGACGCAGGGATTGTTTCGCAAATGTACATCAGGGCTTAGGTTTGATTCCCAGTGCTGCTCACACGTGCTGCTGCATAAGCCAACCACATTGATGTTGTGATTCCCAAGGCTCCAGGTAAATAGGGCGAGGGCCTAAAGAATGGTGGCTTTGGAAAGATTTCCCTTCTTCTACGCAGAATCGCGACCGAAATAAACGTTCCGACTCCCTCGTGGCTCCACCCTCAGCTTTTGGACTTTAGAGCCCCTTGCGGCATCCGGGCGTCTAATGAATGCTTTGCACGCGAGGGGTGTGGACAATTCTTTCGAGTGGTAGCAGCCCGATGAATCATCGCATGATCATTGGTACAAAGAGGATTTAATGCAACCCCAACCCTCCAAATAAGGACTCGTTAGTTTTCTTGTGGCTATAGCCAGCTTTTAATTTGGGTATGGGGTTTCACCCGATTTCAGAGAGTATTGGGGGGGCCGCATTACGTACCGTCAGCATGGTCGTACAGTCTTCGTCAAATAGACCAAAATGATATAGCAAATTATTGGACTCCACATTATGCAACTTGCCCCGTTTATGTCCTAAGAGCTTTTTAGCTTCATGGCGTTGAGTTCTTAAGCTTGAGAACAGCAGAGACTAAACGACCTAGAGCCCCTCTTTTTAGGAAGCCTTAGCCCCAGGGATAAAACCCTAAACCCTAAACCATACTCCTTAGCCTCAGGGATAGACACTCCCAACCTTTTCCGTCTCGCTATTTCGCCATGGCCGTCTTCGGCTGCGGGGCGCATTTCCATGCCGAGGAAGATGCACCTGGCGAGTTCATGGTACCTGCGGAGGTGGCGAAACTCGGCACCAGCTTCGAAGACATTATTATTGATAATTATCATCAAAATTCTTACTAATTATTTTTATTGTTATTTATTACTATTATTATTGTTACTATTGTGTTTGTTTGTCATTATTATTGTTAGGATATTCTACAGGAAAGCCAGCCGGGATGTTGTCTAGGGTTTAGAAATTACCCCATTAGACCAGTTTCCATTTCATTTTTTTAATATGGTTCTCCATGATTGCGGGCAATATTCCTAAACCCTAAACCCCTTTGTCAGGGTTTAGGAGTTAGGGATCAGGGCTTAGGGTCTTGTAGGGATTCCGAGGCGGCATGCAGGTCTTGTAACCAGACAGGGATATAGAGGTACTATATAGGGGGCATTATAGGGGTATTTCCAGGGTATTATAGCGATATATATAGATATATATAGGGTTAAGGGTTTAGGGTTTCCCAAAATTAGGGGTTCCCATAGGACTGTAGTTATTTTGGAGTCTATATTGGGGTTCCCCTATTTTGGGAAACTGCCACAAAGCAGCCAAGGAAATGGGTGGATGAAGCCTCCTGTATCGCGCTAGATGCTTGGCAGCAGCTATTCGGGAGAGTAGGACCTTCTGTTTAGGTGCGACACATAAACTGTGTCAGTGTAAACTGTTCCTGATTGGGTTTCCTGCATACCTTGCTGTGGTAGTTTCCCTAAAATAGGGGGACCCCAATATAGACCCAACAAATACTATAATCCTTCTTATAGGGACCCCCAAAATGGTACCCCGAGTTTTGGGAAACCCCCCTGTCTGTCGTTTGACGAAATGTAGCTTTTCTTTCTGAGGCACTATATTCAGCGCAGCCTGTAAGAGCCAACAGTCTCACCAGGATATGGTAGTTTCCCAAAATAGTGAGACCCCAATATAGACCCTATAATCCATACCATGAATTTGGAAAATCCCCATATGGTAGCGTTTTACTCAAGTTGTTGCAGGAAGCATCCATACATTTTGGCGTTGTCCAGATCCTGGACTGTTGCACGGGATGGCCACCAACTTGTACGACTGCTATACAGTTCCTGTGGTAGTGATGAATGATTTGTGCTTGGTTCAATGGACATGTTGAGGGATGCAGAATTTGGGGTACCATGGCAATGCATTCCCTCTAGACATCCTCCCCCCTCCCCATGTTACCTAATTTTTGCAACCCTTGCACCGGAAACCCCGCATCGCCATATGTGGAACACTCCGGTAACGACATGAAACCAATCCGCGCACCGCATGAAATCGAGCACTCTTGACCTCTGAACCCTAATTTAGTCACACTCCTTTGCCACATCGCAGCGAAGGATGTGCGCCGGAGCCCAAGCGGAGTGGCATGAGTTCAGAAGTTCACGTCGTGAGATGGCTGGCTCCGTGTAGCGTGCAACGTTCAGTCTGGATCTTTTTTGAAGACCGCTGCAGAGAGGAAGGGATCAAGTTGTTCACCGCTATCTGCGGGCTCGAGCTACTGCTACTGCTACTACGACTACGACTGCTATCAGCACCAACACCACTACCAATAGGCGAACTTCTTTTCATTCGAGTATTCCTCGACCTGCCCATTCAACATGAGTAGTTGACGCGTGCGCAATTAACTAGATAAAGACAACCAACGGGCCATTAGCAGGTCTGGAAGCGCATCTACACCAGAATTGGCTGTAATCCCATCCCCTTCATACCAACCCACCGCACCCCCATCAAATACTTCCTAAAAAGACACCCTCTATATGGAGGGATGCCAGGGCTTAAAGAGTGTAAATTCAGGCTGAGGGAAAAATGAGAGAACAAGGCGCCCCATCACATTGAGCTGCAGCAGCATGGAGCCCTTGGTAAGCTCCAACCCCCCGAGGCTTGGCTAGCCCTGCGCCTTGAGCCAACCTCCATCCAAAATGCTTACAGCTTAGAGCTTGGTCTCCAGTTCTTTTTCCATTATCTCAATATAACCCTATATAGCCCCAAGATAACCCCAATATACGAATTCAGTTAATTATTGAACCCTAAGCCCCAAACCTTAAACTTGAAACCCTAAACCTCGAGGTGAAGACTATGAGATCAAGGAGCGTGGCCCCCTGCCAGGCAGCAACATGTGGTTTCAGATAGGTTTTCTCAAAACGGGGGCTCCCCTAACCGATGTACCCCAAACCCTAAACCCTAAACCCCTAAACCCTAAATCCAGGGGGCATGAGGAGGTTGCCTGTGCAGTTGAGGCGCTGGGAGAGTCGAGTGGATTGCAGTCATATTCCCTCGCCCTGAACCGCGTGATTCGGATTTGTGAACGCTGGAGTTTGGGTGAAGCCATGCGGCGCTTCTTTCTTTTGTCCTTCAGGGGCGACATTGCAAGAGCTAATCTACTTCTGGCGCAATTCTCATGATATGAGAGATCTATTGCTGCACCCCTCCGAGAACCACTCCACGCCAGTCATGGAGCATGCTCGAAGCACCCGTATGTACGCAGCGATTAGGGGTACTTTTTTTTGGGTCCTTATAATAAGGATGATAGTGTTTTGGGGTCTATTTTGGGGTCCGCTTATTTTGGGAAACTATTGTACGAGTGTGCATGGCCCAAGCAACCGCTGTCTGCTTTCGTCCTGAAGGCAGCGCCGAACTGGAACCTTTCACGACAAGGGGCCTTTAGGGACCCGGGGGATATGTAGGGATCATCTAGGGAGCAAGCGGGTCCCCCTTAAGGACTATTCAGGGAGAGTTTTGCTCCAATTTGGGGTGCATCTCTTCAAGCATAGTGGCCGCAAGGGAGCTCATCGTTCCCAGACCCCCTTTTTTAAGAACCCCCAAGCCTGAATCCTCTCCCCCTAATATAAAACCCATCCACCTTCTCCAGTATTAAATACACCTTATTATGTGGTATATTATAGTCTACTGGGAAAACTTGAATATTAGGGGGTGTAATATTAGGGGGAGGGGATTATCGCTTAACAGCAGCATCCAGTAAAAGGGAGTGGGGTGTCCCTGAACAGGAGGGCTTCCTTAAGGGAAGGTTGGCGATTGTTCCTATGAAGTGCTTAGCTCTGGGAAGCTGGTATCAGTTTGGCCCTAAACCCAATAGTCCCCCCTAAGTAGACAGAAGTATATGGGGGTCTAATTCTAATTAACCAAATCCATATTCTATCTATTTGAGGAGGAGTATAGACCCTAACCTCTGACCCCCGAACTCTAACACCCTGCACCACAGACTCACATGCAGTGCTTGGAAGGGCGTTGTTGACATGGCTGGTCAGGTGCTCTTCAGCTGTCCTCAGGCGAAATCATGTTCGCGAAGCCTGATTTAGACCCTCTGCTACAACTCTTGCATCAGAACTGGAAGCTACTGTGCCACAGATGTCCACATTCGTGAACGGGAAACGGGAGAGAATGGCGAGTATGGTGTCATATAGTTGATCTCACACTATCATGATCTTCATGTTGCATCCTATGGTCTTCAGAGGTACAGTGGAGGGCTCAGGCCCTTCTGGGAGGTCTAGCTTCTCAGTCCTCTGGATCAGGGTCCAAGTTCGAACACATTCCATGCTGTGGGCGGTGTGTAAGCGCAAAGCCGGAAATGTTTATGTCAGCTTAAGGAATGAAACCGCAAACCTTGAATCCATAGGATACAGACCCTGAAAAGGTAGGCAATTTAACAACCTAAAGCCTCAACGAGGAGATCCTACTTGCATGTCCATGGTCAGAAGTATGATAGCTGCAGCTACTACTATCTGCAAAGTTCTTCTGGGCTACTCTAGCTTTCATATACACTACAAACTCAGCTGTCCAAGACTTCAATCCCATCTCAGGACAAGAAACTGGAGACTCTTCGGCGGAATGAGAAGCCCATCGTGCGGCTTGGCTGCCTCAAGAAATTACGTGCGCACGTTGGCGTTCATGAACTTCAAGTATGGGAGGGCAATCTGTAGGGTTTCGGGTAGAGTGGAGAGCCCTTGCTTGTTTGGTGATCGTTCTGATGATGGGGTGGTGACTGCTGTGTCCATCACCTTGACTTCGATATTGCACTGGGTTTTTGCCTCAACCCGGTTGACCGAAACGTCTCCCCTCACGCATGAATTTACCACAGGGGCCCAAACTGGCAAGATCATAAGCAGAAAGTGGTTTGTTTGATTTTTTGGGAGATTATTCTGCACCTCTAACATCAAGTAGAAACCCATATCCACTTGTCGCTGCATCTTATACTGAGGCAGGATTGAGGCTGAAAGGATATTTAGGACGATGTGAATGTTGAAGGAAGCAATTGGTATGAAAGCCAAGGTGCTACACTGACAAGGGCGTGGAAAAGAGCCGCTGCGGCGTCGTCTGCCAATGGTTGGTGGCAGCTCGGCACATCTACTAATGTCTAGACTCCAGACAAAGGAGGGCGCCGCACGAAGGGATACTCCATGTCGGCCAATAGGCGAATAAACGTGAAAGGGCAACACAGAGACAGATGTACGTTACATTGGGACGGCCAGAAAACGCGAAGGGACTTCACCGCGATTGTGACGGCTAGAATGACCACCATGACAGCACAGACTGTGAAGGGACAAGGGGCACTCTAACAGCCAAAAGTATGCATCCTCTAAACCCCCAAACCCATAAACACGAAACTGTGAGGACAAGGGTTTTCCAGCGGAGCGGCTGAAGCGGCTCAAAGGCGGCCGCGACGCCTGGCTTCTCGGCTGCGCGGGAGTTTTGCAATGCTTGGAAGTTTATTGGGTTGCTGTTAAGGAACTTAGATTAAGTTACTAGAGTGGGTATATGTATATAGTAAGTAATATGGTTTCCCTATATAGTAACTAAATTTAAGTTCCCTAGCAGTAACCCAGTTGATGAGATTGGGGGTTTTGGCTGGGTACTTCTCCCTTTCATTAACAGTTGCACAATACTTGTACTATACTTATATACGGCCCTTGATATAACCTCTGTAATAGAAGGGCGCGGGCAGGACTTAAGGTTTCGGGTTTGGTTTCGGCGTTTTCGACCTATGAGTAGGAGTTCAGGTGTGAGTTTGTGGGTTGGGGATTCAGGGTTCGTAACTTGATGATTATGGACTCCTGAACAAGGTCCCATTTTGGGTGTTGAAAAATCGGGGTCACTGTTCAAGTCCAACGATTGTGAGCCTGACGCCGAATCCGAGGGAGCACTTGTTTAGCGGCCCTGCCGTCGGCGCGCAATAGCAACAGGTAGTCAGCGAAGCATCTTGATGTTGACCTTGGGGTTTCAGGGTTTGTGCTGTCATTTATTTAGGTTTTGGGGTTCATGGAACATGTAGCCCTGCTGCCAAGAAGGTGCAGAATGATGCGTAGATTGGGAAATACATATAAGTCCCCCCCTTGTGACATGGAAGACTCAAATTGGAGCCTGGTAAGTCTGGCATCCTCTGCGGTTTAGGCTTTAGGGCTTAGGGATGTTTAGGGGGTTCCTAATACCTTGACCCTACGTATACATTCCTACATGTCAAGATGGTAGTTTCCCAAACTCTGTAGACTGCCAAATACTAGAAGCCTTACTATAGGGACCCCCAAACAAGGTACCCACTAATTTTGGGAAACCCCCATATATATATACATATACCCATACCCTGTTTGTTTCGAGGAAGGTCTGCTGTAAGGCTGAGAAACCAGGGAGGCCGACTTCCACCGAAACGAATCACCTTCCCTCACCCAGAACAGCACCCCCCACCCTCCTATGAAAACATGTTCCCCTTATGTGTATCTATATAGATAGGGTTTAGGGTTTAGGGATACTCTCTTGTTAGGCGGCTGGGTGGTTTGAAACATGACGAGGGACCGGATTTCTACATGCATCAGCTGAGTGTAAACCAAGGTGGTCTGGCCAGAGCTACACGTTGAATTTCGAACCCTAAAAACCTAAGCCTTTAATCCTAAATTCGCAATCCCTAAACTCCAAACCTCGAAGTGCCTGAATCCTACACTCTTAACCCACGAAGTTTTCAACCGAAGCCCTCAGCCCTATGCATAAGCCCAAGCCCAACTCAGCGTGACATCGCACAGGCATGCTGAAGGCTTCCCGACCTGCGAGCGCCCTGTTATGAATATCATGACTGGTTTCTACTCTTCTCGGATGGGGTTCAGCGTTTAGGTTGCAGGGTTGGGGTTTTGGAGTTTTAGGTTTAGGGTACATAGATATTTTGTGTAGAATTACTGGTTCCTGAGTGGTGGGTGGGGAGATGATCCCTGTAGGGTTTCTGCCCGTCGGGCTCAGGGAGTAGGATTTGGGTCTGGAAATGATGGGGCTAAGGGTGTTGGGTTTAGGGATTCCTTGCAATCTACCTACCCGCCAATATCGCCCCCCCACTCCCCTGGTAAGTAGTGATGGGAAGGGAATGGGAGGTGCCGGTTTTGGAGGCAAAATGCATGGTTCCGTATTTAGGCCCAAACTAGCCTGGAAGCCCAGAAAAGACCACGACCCTAACTACTTTATACCTTGGGAATTATGGTACCATGGTGTACGGGTCATGCAGAGCTATTGGTACCAACAGTTCCTTGGAAAGGTGATTGTAAAGTCAAGGGACGGTACGTAGTATCCCAGTATGGCCTTGAAGTGATTTCATAAGCAACATCTCCTTGCTTCAGTGCTTCCAGGTATGGGGACGAGATGTGGGAGTTGGCAAATCGTGCGCAGTTGAGTTCGGGCTCTCCACTGAGGCAAGGGCTGCAGCTGGCAATCTGAGTGCATCGGGGTTGGTGGCGGTTTCTTTGACGACTGTGTCCCATATAATGCGCCCAGGATGTATCCCGAATGGTTGTGACCAGGAACGGCCACCTAGACCCTTCGGCACCTTATCATGCTTCCTGCGGTCATGCACCTAGGCAAGCCTTCCTCGTGCCTGCATGTGTTGAGCTGACCCTCTCGTGAAAGTCTGCTCCTGCCCGCGCTGAATTTCAGGTTTCAGACCTTACCGCCCTGAAGGCAAACTAAAGATCTAGCGGGCAATTTAGTGTTTTAGAAGGACGATGTCCATGACGATGAACGTGGTTGAGGCGAAGGTGATGGAGGCGAAGGTTCCCACCAAGAACACCTTTGTTCACTTCAGCGACGCCAGCAAACCCATGGGGACTGCCATCCTCACCCGAGCAGTCTCATGCCCATCCATCATGACAGACTTCGAGCATCCCCAGCGATCCAGGGGGAGCAGCGCAGACCAGATGCTGTCATTTAGCAAGGCATCCTTCGTGGAGGATGACAATTGCAGTGCAGCCAGCACCTCCGGACAGGAGAGCGATGACAACAGCCAAGGTGCTGATGCCGAGTCCACCGGCACATGGTCCCGGCACAACTCACCACTTAATCTCGGACAAGGTGTTGCTGAGATTCCGGCTTTGTTGTCTCAGAGCAATTCCCCTGTCAACACGGGTCGAGGTGGTGCTGAGCCTTCTAGCCCACTCCCTGAAGCAGCCGGTATGCACTCACCAACCAAATCACCCCAGAATCTGGGAAGCGTCTTTGGGGTTGCCATTCCAATCATGCTCACCCCGCCAGTGGCCCCGTTGCCACAGACAGGCCCAATGCACTCGGTGGACTCCGTGGCCGTGCAAGTCGGACAGACTATTCCAGCATCCATGCAAGTGTCGCAGATGGGCCCAATGGATGTGGTGGCGGTGCAAGTCGGCCAGACGGTGCCAATGCACGCTGCGGATGCGGTTGCTCTGCAAGTCGGACAAACTGGTCCGTTATCTATGCCAATGCCGCAGACAGCCCCCATGCACGATGTGGACGCAGTGACCATGCAGGTCGGACAAACCATGCCGGCGTCCGTGCCCATGCCACAGACGACCCCAGTGCCCGTGCAAGTCGGACAAACTGGCCCGTCATCTATGCCAATGCCGCAGACAGCCCCCATGCACGCTATGGACGCAGTGGCCATGCAGGTTGGACAAACCATACCGGCGTCCATGTGCATGCCAAAGGCGACCCCAGTGCCAGTGCAAGTCCCGGCATCTATGCACCTGCAGCAGACAGCCCCCATGCACGCTATGGACGCAGTGGCCATGCAAGTCGGACACACCATGCCGGCATCCATGTCCATGCCCCAGTCAGCCCCGATGCATGCAGTGGATACCTTGCCAGTGCCTCTGCAAGCATCCCAGACCATGCCAGCTGTCCTCTCTGCTGGCCTGCAGCCCATCCAAGCTTCTCGACCCGCTTCCAAGGAGCCAACTCAGGCCAGATTCGTTGATGTGGGGACTTCTCCAAATCAGGGGTCCATACTAGGGTCCCCCTATTTTGCGAAGCTACCACGCATCATGTGTGTATGTGGGGGGTGCCCAAACATTGAGGGGGCCCAAGGGGCCCAATATATACAGCGTAACTATCGGGATCCCTAGAGGGGTCCCGTGTTTTTTTGGCATCCCCCGTTTAGGGCATTTCGCGTGGTGCTACAGGACTCCCAAAACCCCAAACCTAAGTGCTGTGGGGTTTAAGCTCCAGATTTCGGGCTGCGCCGTGGCTGCCACGGAAGGAAAGATTGGGTTGAATAATTCTGTGCAATGTGTGTATAGATATAGTAATATATGTACATGAGGTATTTTCAAAATTAGAGGTCTTCTTAGGAATTCACATAGTGACTATTTTGGATATGAGACGGGGGTGCCCCTACTTGTCGAGACTCTCATGTATGTGTTTCCCTCTATCTGCAAATGTACGCCCAGAGGTACGTTTACATGTCTGTGTATACATACACACAAAAACCTGGCAGCGTCAGTAAGCGAAAGTGTTCGAGGCAGCATCAATCGCACAACACATGCGCTTAAAAAGTAGCGGTTGCAACAACTACGGACCCAATTCTGGAATACAGAAAAATCATAACAGTATATTGAGGTCTATATTTCGCCCCGATTTATGGACTCCCACAGGCCCCACAGCGGCCCTAACCAGACGTGGTAAGGAGTCCAAAGTAACCAGACAGAAATTTTCAAACTTCGACTCTTGCCAAGGATTTGTAGCGATGGCCCCGTAGATGTATGGTATACCGTCTGTACGCATTTAGTTCAAGACCCAATTGTGAACAACACGGGAGCACCAGGAAGAAGCGTCCTTATGGTAATGAGGTGCATAGGGTAAGGGTCATACATGGGGACCGCACAGGGATTTTTCCGGGTCGTGTAGTGCTGATTCATCAACCCTGCCTGACCCTCGAACCGGAAACGCTCATCCCAAAACCTAAATCCAAAACCTAAATCTACCCAGACCTCCCAAACACTTAAAAGAAAAGCCCTTACCCCAAAATAATTGAAGGTCTAGGAAGACCGTAAGCCTCAAACCCTAACCCTTTCGTTGGCTGATAAGTCGAACTAGGGTTTCAGAGGTGGCCCATGGCCGTGCACTTGCATGGGCCCTTGTAGGCTTTCTCACACATCTTTTTGCCAGCAATGCAATTTTTTGAAGCAATGGGTACCTACGAACACATGGAATCTTCGTTTGCCTTAGGGCCTCATCACACCATAATATGGGTGTTCTTAGCAAAAGGTGGGCCCTGGTGGACTAGCCGACTAGCTGGAATAATTACGAATAACATCCGTTTGTCTCAAGAGTAGAGTCCCCTTGAAGTAGGTAGAATATAGGATGTTTGGGGATGGTATGATGGTTTTTGGGGAAACCCACATTCTATACTTAAGGGGTGAGAGATTGGGGCTTTTGGCGTCCCTGTTCTCGTTCTCATGTCATGTTGACTTTCAGTAGGTCATTACGAGAGCCAAAAGCCATGTCGTTTGAAGGATTTCCCAGATGTATCCTTATGTACTCGCTATATACCATTACAAAATATAGGCTTCTAAGCTAGCTGTGCATCGTCAGCAGGGAATTCCCGAAAGGTCCCGGGCCGCCTAGGGTTTCGGATCTGCTGGGCGTTCGAGAGGTGGCTCAGTGGCTCAGGGACCCAACGCATATAAGACAATTGTGAGCAGGGCTCTCCGATAAAAAGCTCCAAGTGGATGTCTTGCAGCAAAATAAAACAAGAAGCATTGCGTTGCAGGTCGTGAGTGTCGGGCAAGCTTCAGCCGGCACACAGCTTCAGATGGAGAAGGCCCGCACATCCAAGAGGCAGAACTTGACGATGCAGAAGCGGATCAACAAAGACCTCGTCGTTGCCGGCAGGAAAAATCGTTTCGAGGTCCTTAAAGTCGCCACGAAGAACTTGGACACGATGAATGGAGTGAACCTGGCCACAGCCTTCCACCGCATCGCCAAGGGCACCACCGATGAGGTCGAGGCGGTGTCGGGCTCCAGTGCCTTCGCCAGCATGCTCGTTGCAGCCGAGCGCTACGCGGAGCAGGAGCTAGCGCACCGGGATGGTTCTTTGCCAGCCAATTGCTGCACCATCATCGCAT